TTGCCAAATATGATCCAGCACGTTCAAGTCGTACTCGTAGGACTCTTTGATCAGGTACTGTTTGGCCTGCCCAGGAAAAATGGCGTTGACGTGCTGGGCGCGCGTAGCCCCTGGGTTCATGACCTCGTTCTCTGGCTCGACGTTCATGGCCTCTGGCGACGCGGGCAGCGCGAAAGTCGACCCATTCTCGCGGCATAGGATCGCGAACACATGTGTCTCGTCATCCATAGTGCTGGAAGTGAGTCTTCTCGAGATCTGCATAGAAGAATATGTATGTAAAATCGAGATTGGCGTCATCTGGGCTCGCGATGCAGTTCTCTCTGTTGAACGTGGCGCGGTGATGAGGTCGCATGCGCGCTCCTGGAACAGAGACTTAGCCTTGGCGCCCCACAGCGAGAGATTGTGAAGAACCACGGTGCGCGGGGCCTCGGTGAAGTTGTCGTTATTGTCCTTCTTGGCGCAGCGCAGGCGGATGGCGTCGCGGTCCAAACCCGCGACTTGGCATTCTGCTTAGTCTGCTCGAAACCGGTGGCGACGGAAGAGCGCGCTTCCTGGGGAGACGTTCCACGACGTCCTTAGCGGGCGCCGTCGGAGGACTCGAAGCACTCGCCGCGGTAGCTGCGCCTTGAGTGCCCATCTCCTCGCCCTTATCGCCTGCTTCTGCTGGGACAGAAACTGGCTCTGCAGCAGGAGGTTCTGACGCTGCTCCAGGGCGTCCTCCTGATTCGACTCTTCGACGTTTGCTGGCCATGCGGATGCGGAACTGCTCGAGCTCCTGCCTGCGAAATGCCATTCGCAGACGGACCCGCAGTCTGGACAATGAGCGCTTTGATGCATTCCGCGGGGCCCTCCTGGAAGTTCGCCCACTGCTCGACCTCGGCACTGGAGAGTTCGAGCTCGTCGCAACGCAAAAAGGTCACCGTCTTCGAAGTGGAGAGGCCCCTCCAACGCGGTTTCGTCGGAGTGGGTCTGGAGGAGAGCAGACAAGTCCATGGCGCCTTCTGCTTGCAACTGCGGTTTGGACTCCCCCAGGACTGTCTGCTCTTCGTGTAGCCCCTTGTGGTGTTCGGACTCGGCTGTGGCAGCGTCGATGGCCAAGCGCTGGGCGTTGGCCATAGCCTGGCCCAACCACTCCTGACAAGCATGCTCATGCTGAACAGCTCGCTGTAGTGCTTCTTTGGCTTTGCGGGCAGCCACGCTCGATCCCTGAAGTCGTTGCTCTCGAAGCAGAACTGGGCGCACTGGTACTTCTTTCGGGGCCTGAGCTTCGGTGACAAAAAGCCTTGATACGGGCCTTTGCCTCTGGAACGCGCTTCCCCAAACACTGTAGGATCTGCTCCAGGGCGGGGGCGAACGGCGAGCTCGGGTCCTGGAAGTTGTGCGTTGTAGCATTCGCTGTCCAAGTTCCTGGCGGTCCTGATGCGACAGGCCTGGCAGGTGTTGTAGAAGACTCTTTACTGCGCGTCCACCACGGACGAGTACTAGCACGTGCCCTAGATCCCTGCGGGCGAGGTGGTGCTGCGGGCGCGGGTTGCAGATGTCCTCCACACTTCCAGCGTATCGTACGATAGCGGAAATTCCATGGGTAATGACAAGTAAAGCAGGCAATGTGGCTCGCCCTTCAGCTGACGAAACTTCTTGCCGCCATGGGAGAAACTTGCCATGGGATGTTCCTGCAAGAGCTCACCGATGTAGGACAAACATGCCCTCAGCAGCGCGCGGCTCGACTGAGGTGGCCTGAAGGAAACATTGGCAAGCTGGCCGCGGACTAGCGGTATCCACTTTGTTCCCAAGAGAAACTTTCATCTTGAGCCAACATGGCTACGGAAGGACGATGTGGAGGAGGACGAGGGGGAAGATAAATAGGAGGAATAGGAGGAGGAGGAGGAAGAGGAGGAGGAGGAGAAGGACGAGGAGGAGGAGGACGAGGAGGAGGAAGAGGAGGAGGAGGAGGATCAGGAGGAGGAGGACTTGGAGGCCCAGAAGAACTGGGAGGCCCAGAGGAAGCCTCAAAGCACCGGCCCCATGCCTCCCGGGGGCCCCGTGGCAAGCCCGCGCCGTGGGCCTGGGCGGGCGCCGAGGCCGAGGCCGAGGGCGGCCGCCACCCCGCCCGGGACCAGGCGGGAAAGCGCGCGCAGCCTCGACCAGCCGCAGGGCTCTCGCTCGCGCCCGCGCTCGGGCTCGCGCTCGGGCTCGCGCTCACGCCGGGGCCTGAGCGGCCCCCCCCTCCGCTCACGCAGCACCAGGCCCCCGAGACAGCCCTGGGCCACCGAGCAGGCCGCCCGGAGGCACCAAGGGCAGCGCGGGCCTCGCGAGGCCAAATCCGACTAACGATCAAGCCACTGTTGGCACTCACGGCAGCAGCTATAGCACTGCCGTAGTATCCGCATCAGTGCTGCTCTCTGTGGCACAGCAAAAACAGCATGCGTGCGGAGCGCAAGACGGCGCCGCGCCCCTCTGGCGCTCTCGACGTCTGGCCGAGATCCGTGCGCCAACCCCGAGCACCCCGGGAAACGGTCGACGTCCGCGCTGGGTCTCATCTGCGCGATGGTGGAAAGAGCCCGAGCGTGAGGGGGAACAATCAGTAGAGGAAGTAGAGGAACGATCAGTAGAGGAAGGTCAATATCCTCCTCCTCCTCCTCCTCCTCCTCCAATTATTCCTCCCCCTCCTCTAGTTTCTCCTCCTCTTCCTCCTCCTCCTCCTCCTCCTCCTCTTTCTCCTCCGCCATCCTTCGGTGGCGGGCGAAGGGGGGAAGTGAGAAGGAAAAGGCCTTTTCAGAAGTTTCGGAAGCCCCCTGGCGCCTTCTGAGAAGCTCTCCGCGTCTTCGGGAAAGGCCCAGAAAACTTCTCGGAAGGCCCGGGGACTTCCTAGTCTTCTAAGAAGGCCTTGACTTTCGACGGCGCGCGGATTTCTTAGATCTGCGCTGGACCCCCCTCCTTGGCGTTAGGTCGGACATGTCCTCCGACAGGCGGATTCTGGGCGAAACCTGAAGAATCGTCACACAAATATCCATACATAGTCCGACCTAGCAGAAGCGCCGTCCCCTGAGCATTTTTTGACTGCTTTTGAACAGTATTCCTCCGGGAGAGGGACGCGCCCTGCCCGACCCGAGCACAGAAAAGCGTAGCCTCTCGACGGCCCGCGCGGATTGCTCAAGAACCCGCGCTGGGCCCCCCCCCCCCGGCGCGCGCAGCCCGCCGGGGGGCGGCGCGGCGGAGGCGCCTCCCCTCGGGGGGAGGCCAGCGCAGGCCGAACAGCGGCATGGCGACAGGCCCCGAGGGCGAGACTGCACGCTCCGGGGCGGGGCGCACCCACCAGCGAGGAGGGGGCGATCAGGTGTGCCAAGGCACTGTGATAAAACAACTGGGTGGTAAAACAGCTTGTGTGATGAAGCACGTGCTTTGTTTATAACCACACTTGTGCTTTTCTCACAGTTCTCTTCAGCACAGCTCTTTCATGGCACTTGTTCGGGGGACGATGCATCTCCCCCTGTACGCCGCCCCCGGGCGACCCCGACGCCGCCTACGCCGCCCCCAGACGACCCCGCATCCCCTCCGGGGAGCCAGCAGAGGCCCAAAAACTGGCGGGGTCCCCCCATCGGCGAGGAATGGGCGAAAGGGGGTCGATGCTGATGTTGCTCCCACCGTGCTTGAGGACCACATCCTAGAAATACTCTCGAGCACCCAGAACAGTATCGAAGCAGTGTCGAACGAGTATCGACTGCCAGGGCCCGACACGTGACCAGCCTCCAATTTCGGTACGTTCTTGGTGCTCGCGACATTCTTTCTGGTGAGTAGGTTGGAACATCATAAGTCGATGCATCCCCCCTGGTCCTATCCAATCCTACACCGCCCCCAGACGATCCCAACGCCGCCCCCGCCGCCCTCAGACGACCCGGGACGACCCACCGTCCCCTTCCGCCGGGCAGCACAGCCTGCCAGGAACCAGCCTGGCGGCGTGTAGGGCTTCAGCTCACTCCTGGCTCGGCCTCCTGTCGGTCAGTCCTGACTGGAAGAAAAAAAACGCCATACACATAAAAACTTTTGAACCGCCCTCCCTGGCGGGCGGAGCGCGCCAGGGGCGGCGCCGGAGGCGCCGCCGCGGGTGCCCAGCGCGGATCCAAGAAATCCGCGCGGAGCGCACAAAACGTGCATGTTGTTTTCTCTTCTTTCGTTAATTCGAGCTTCACGCAGCCCGCTTAGCTTCGACCGGAAGAGGTGCGCTCTCGACCCGCGAATCAAAACATCTTGTTTCTCTTCTTCGACTGACAGCACCCCAGAGTACCATTGAAACAAATCGACCTGCCCGCCAGCTCCCACACCTGTTTGCTGTCTTGTCGCCGGCCCACCTCGCCCTCGGGGGTGGGCCCCCCTGTGGTCCAGGGGCGCCCCGAGGCCCTGCTCCGAGGGGCTCCCAGCTTCGCGCTCCCGCGCCGCGCGAAGCGCGAATGACTTCGCGCTCTCGCGCCGCCTCCCCGGGGGGGAGGAATCGGAGCCGAGCCGCGAAGCGCGGACAACTTCGCGCCCTCGAGGGCGCCCTGGCAGATCTGCCCAGGACCAAGCCGCCGCAGACCGATGCCCGGCGGTGAGAAGCATGCCGCAGCGGTGCAAGACGGCGCCGAGATGAAGCAAACCCGAAGCCAGCTCAAACGTAGTTCAAGACGAGCAGAAGACATGCCAGAAGCAGATCGAAGACTCCCCCAGACAGCCCCTCAACAAGCGCGAAGACGGCACGAATACCTCCCCAGATAGCCCCAAAACTCCCCAAGAGAGCTCGACAAGTACGAACGGTCCCCAACGCGCCACTAAGAGGTTCCCAAGAAGACATCCAGCAGGCCCATGGGAAGCTAGAACATTGAATAGCCGTACGATTTCCGAGTGGAAGCAAGACGGCCCCAAGCAGAACCAACGGGCCCCCAAGCGGCCCCAGAGAAGTGCCAAGGCCAACGCGACAACCACTCAGTGGTACAGGCATGGCGGAACAGCAGCGTTGCTACATCGCTGCCACGTGCATGGTGGCGGATATGGCGCGGCAGCACAACTGGAACCGAGGCGTTCTGGTTCATCTTCAGCTTGGTCCAGACGTGGACATCCGCAGAGGGCAGCACCGTTCGGACGTCGCCGAGCACTCGATAGTAATAGCTGTCGGGGGTGTAGCGGGGGCCCCATCGCACATCTTCTCTCCTGAGGTGCACAGCCACAGAAGGCCGCCCAGCTTCGTACTCCAGCGGCAAGCTCATCAGCGGTTCGGCCAACGCAGTCAAGAGCGCGACGGTGTACTCCCCCACCTTGGCGTGGCAGCTCGGCACGAAGACATTCGCCATGCTGCGGAAGGGCAAATGCGCCTCCAGTTCCGCCGACCCTCCACTGAAAACTGCATCCCATATGGGCTCATGCCGAAAAAGCAACTGGCCGGCAACGTCACTGCCAAAATACTGCTCAAGAACATCATGGAACGAATGACCGTGAGAGACCAGTTCCTTCTTTTTTTTCACAGTGACGATCCCGCCGAAATTCAGTCCGTGTTTGGCAGCCAGGGCTAGGCCGTCGAACACGTTGATCATCCTGTGCCCAACCCCGTCAGAGTGCTCCTTCACGAACAGCCGCGGCGATTGAGCGTCGTGGAAGCGACACGCCCGCAGACTGCAGGTAGCGACATCTGTGGACACCACTACCTTGGCTTAGGTCGGGCATGTCCTCCTACAGGTGGATTCTTGCCGAACAATAAAAAATAGTCAAACATATAATCCGAAATGACCAACAATAGTAGAAACAACATCCCCAGACGATTGTTTTACTATGTTTGAACATTCCTCATGTAGAGGGACGTTCCCGACTGAAACCTTGACGGCGGAGACGGCGTCGGAGCTGTTGTGAAAGCTGAGCTCGTCGTCGTCTCGCAGGAGGCACTGCTGCTGCTCGACCCTGAACGTCCAGACGTAGCACGCGGCCGCCTCGCAGCAGGCCTGGCGGCAGGCCGCGGCGCTCTGGGCGCGCACCTTCTGGAGAATCAAGAAATTGGCAGCGCGCACAAGGGGGTGGAGGGAGGGGGGAGGGCTTCTTACAAGGAGGCTGCTTCTTAGAAGGCGCCGGCCTTACATCTATAGATAAGGCCCGCGCCTTCTAAGAAGCAGGAGTGCTTCTAAGAAGCCCTCCCCCCCTCTGCGCGTGGCTGAAGAAAATAGCACGAACATGTGAACGATTGTTATTCGGCGTTTCGACATTGGGCGGCAGGGGGGAGGGGGGGTCCGGCTCCAGACCTCTGCTTAGTGCGAACGTTTGCAAGAGTGCGGCCTCTGGGGGAGACTCCACCCGCTCGAAACGGGCGCCAAAAAACAGCCAAGATCTACTCCATGGGAGGGGGAGGGGGGGTTTGAGGGCCCGCGCCGATCGGCAAAACAATGTACAAAAAAAAACGATCACCACAATTTCTCGGAGGTCCGCGCGGACTTCTTGGATCGGCGCTGGACCCCTGTCCCTGGTGCGCGGAGCGCCGATCCAAGGCCTCCGCGCGAGCCCCCGAGAACTCGTGCTTGTGCGTTTTGTGCTCTTCGAGCCCTCGGCCCTCAAGACAGCCACAAAATGATCCAAAATAGCTGGGCATGGCTCAGGACAGCCTCCGGCAGCCTCCGGCCGAACACGGCTCGAGATAGCCTCCAACAAAAAGCCTCAAGAAAGCCTCCGACCGTGCCTGCATGGGCTGGTGGGGCTACGCGAGCAAGCAAGCAAGCAGGCACGATGCTGAGTACGAAACGCACATGAGCACGCTGGATGGGCTGGTGGGGATGCGAAGCGTCAAGAATGGTGCGTGCGCGGTTTTTATGCTCCTCGAGCCGGCGACTCTCCGCCCAGCCGTCCCGCCCCGCCTCGCCCCTCGATGCTCCTGCCTGAAGGGGCCCTGGGACACACACACATAAATACACACAAATAAAAGGATCCCCCATATTTTCCCATATTTTCTGGGTTTTTGTCTTCCCCACCACTTCCCATATTTTCCAATATTTTCTGGGGAGTCGACGATTAATTGTGTCTGTGTGTTTTTTTCCCTCCTGACTGCCCTCGGACCCTCGGACCTTCCGCCCCTCGATCCTCGGACCCACGATCCTCGACCCTCCGCCCCTCGACTCGGCTACACGCAAGAGCGACCCCCCAGGCAAGAGGGACATCCGATGCGCGGCCAGAAGGGGTCCCTGTGAGGGCACCGCCGGGCGCGCCAGCGGCTGCGATCTCCTCGCACGCGGCGATCGAGGGGCCCCCAGTGGGCCCGCACCGGAGGCCCCTCTGGCGGAGGGTCACCCTTGAAGTGCCGTCGATCGGCCCTCCTCGCCAGGCTCCTGACTGAGCACACCACTGAGCACGACACCCCTCGATCATCGGGCCCTCGATGCCAGACCCCCGGCGTCGTGATTTTGTTCAAAAACATCGACCCCCATGGTCTGGACCTCTTCCCTGGGACTGGCTTTTCCTCCTGAATTGCTTTCTGACGGTGCGCCCGGTGAGGGCCCCCCGAAGCCACAAATAGCGACCCCCCCCCCGCCGTGCATTCTGCACAACGCGCGGGGGGGCCTGGGATCCTCGATCCTCCACCCCTCCTCCCCTCGGCGACCTTCCTCACCAGGCTGCCGTCGTAGTAGCCTGGCCGTTCCTCTCTAGGGGAACAAAAACTGACAAAAACATAAAAACTCGGAGGTCCGCGCGGATTTCTCGGATCGGCGCTGGACCCCCCTCCCTGGCGCGCGGAGCGCGCCAGGGGCGGCGCCGGAGGCGCCGCCGATCCTAGAAATCCGCGCGGACCTCCGAGTTTTTATGTGTATGCCACTTTTTGCCCCCCTCCTCTCGCATCACGCAGGCGGGCGGCCGCTCCCCGCCGCCGCCCGGCGCCGCCGCCGCCTGCCCGGCCCCCCCCGCCGACGGCTGCCCAGCCTCGGGCGCCGGGGGCGGCACGAGCGCGGCAGGCGCCCGAGGGCGCGCGGGCGCTGCCGGCCGTGGGCACCGCGGGGCGCCGCCGCGGGCGCCGCGGGCGCCGGGGGTGCCGCGGGCACCGCGGGCGCCGCGGGCGCGGGGGCGCCGCGGGCGCTGCGGGCGCCGCGGGCGCCGTGGCGGCGGCCTCCGCCGCGGGCGCCGTCGACTGGGCCAATGCCGCGGGCGCCGGCGCCGCCGCCGAGCCCGCAGCTCGGGGGGGCTCCCGCAGCGTGTCCGGCAGGGACGCCCCCTGCGTCTGCACGACCACGGACAGCGTGAAGATCCCCACAACCGCCGCGAAGAGCAGGCACGGGACGCTCGGCCAAACGTAAGAGTGGCGCAAGGCAAGAGTGACCTGTGGTGCGCGGCCTCGCAGCCGAGGGTCTCCTCCTCCTCCTCCTCCTCCTCCTCCTCTACTTCCTCCTCCTCCTTCTCCTCCTCCTCCTCCTCCTCCTCTTCCTCCTCCTCCACTTCCTCCTCCTCCTCCTCGACTTCCTCCTCCTCCTCGTCCTCCTCCTCCTCGTCCTCCTCCTCCTCCTCCTCCCCCTCCATTCCTTGTCTTTATACATAACTTCTCAGTGTCGCACCCCCAAGCAAATTGTTAGGGCGGGCCGGGAATTTCGCCGGAGACTTCCTCACCACTTAAGATTCCGAAGCTTAAATATCACAACAGTTTCACAGACGGAGGGCGGGTCATTTTTCAACATGTGGCTCTCGCCTGAGCGCCGCGCTCATTAGATTTGATGAACACTTGCAAGAGCTTCACGGATTGAGGGTGGGTGGTTTTCAAAATGTGGCTCTCGCCTTAGCGCCGCGCACATGCGTTCCCGAAACAATTACAAAGTTTCACATATTAAGAGCAAGTCGTTTTCAAAATGTGGCTCTCGCCCTAGCGCCGCGCACATTCGTTTTAAAATGTGCAAGAGTTTCACGGATTAAGGGCGGGTCGTTTTCAACATGTGGCTCTCGCCTTAGCGCCGCGCGCATTCTTCAAAAACTGCAAGAGCTTCACGGATTGAGGGTGGGTGGTTTTCAAAATGTGGCTCTCGCCTTAGCGCCGCGCATATGTGTTCCCCAAAAATTACAAAGAGCCACGGAGTGAGGGCAGGTCGTTTTCAAAATGTGGCTCTCGCCTTAGCGTCGCGCACACTCACTTTGCAAACTTTGAAAGGGTTTCACGGATTCACATGATCAATGTACCAGAAATGTTGTTTTAGAAGGATTCCGGATTATGCGGGTGCAACAGTTATGTTGATTCGCGGTGTTGGAATCCCCCAAAAAGGTTTTGGCACTATTCCAGATCGTAAGGACGCAGCAGTCAGGTTGATCCGTGGCGTGAAAATCGCGAGAATAATGTTTTGGCGTGCTCCAGGGTCTACAAACGGTTGTCGTCCAACGAGGCAGTTCCCTCAATGGAAATGAACCGTTGTAGGGGCCTGTGAAGAGGGAGTTTGGAGGGAGGGTTAATTCCAACATCGTTGATGATTCCTGGGTTTACGCTGGTCCTCCTCTTCCTCCTCCTTCTCCTCCTATAAGTCCTCTTCATCCTCCTCCTCCTCCTTCTCCTCGCGCGTGGGCTCGCGAGAGACCAGTCCTCTGCGGCCCCCTGGGGGGCCAAACTCAAGAGAGCAAACCGCCTGAGGCCAGTGCTGGGGGCACTCCTTTGGGCCAGCACCAAAACAAAGGGGCCCAGGAAAACTCGCAAATCATTAAACACAAATCCCAGGATTCCTCATATATTTTCATATATTTTCTGGGTTTTCTTCCCCCCCACCCAGTTCCCATATTTTCCTTCTTTTCCCGGGGATCGACGACTAATTGTGTCTGTATTTTTTCCCCTCCTGACTCTTACGCCAAGCCGAGACGGTGGCGTCTCCCGAGGGAGGCTGCATCCACTGGCGTGCCGCCTGGCTCGGAGCGCGTGCCGGGGCGGGAGAGGAGAAGTCGGCACAGGCACAAGCTTGCGGAGGACCGCGCAGGTTCCTGAGATCGGCGCTGCAGCCCGCCTCCCTGGCGTGCGGAGCGCGTAGTGGGCGGCGCCAGAGGCGCCGCCAAGGGGGCCCAGCGCCGATCCAAGAAATCCGCTGACATCGGACCTCCAAAAGAATACCAAAAAAAGCTGGGAGCACACATGAGCGAAGAACAGACGTGGGTTTTACGCGCGATGCCATAGCGACCTCACGCGGTGGCTTATGCAGGCCGCCAGCTTGGCACGCTGTAGTGGAAACGCAAGTGCTCGCGCCTGCTCTGACGCGGGCAACTTGCGCGCGAATGGTTGTGCCAATCCGTCCTTCGACGGCGCGACCAGGGGGGTAGGGAGAGGACGCGGGCTTTCTCAGAAGGCCAGAAAATCCCCCCGCCTTCTGAGACACGTTCTGAGCTTTCCCCGAAGACTCGGAAAACTCCTCAGTCGGCCGGAAGGCTTCTGAGAAACCCCACGGCCTCCCGAGACCTGACCTGGCTCGTGGCGGTCGAACGTCGTCGTGCAGCCACCTGTCCTGCCCCTCCACCTCGGCTGGGTGCCCGAGGTGGAGGGGGGTGGACTCGTGAAAAGGTGAGGAAAGGAAGGCGGGTAGAGTAAACTGGAAGCGGCAAGCCGAACACACACCTCTTATGATGGAGGGGGGTGGAGATGCGCCTGCGTCCTCCTTCTCGCCTTCCTCCCCCTCGCTCGCCGCCGAATTGTCCTGCGTCGACCAGACGGCCGCGCGTTCACACGTGGAAGATGCGGAGGCCACGCTCCCCTCTCCTCCTCCTCCTCCTCCTCCCTCCTCCTCCCTCCTCCTCTCCTCCTCCTCCTCCTCCTCCTCCTCCTCCTCTCTCCTCCTCCTCCTCCTCCTCCTCCTCCTCCTCCTCCTCCTCCTCCTCCTCCTCCTCCTCCTCCTCTTCCCCCTTTCCTCCTCCTCCTCCTCCTCCCCCTCCTCCTCCTCCTCCTCCTCCCCCTTTTTCCTCCTCCCCCCCTCCATGCTGCCATGTTGCCAGCATGCAAAGGAAGCTCCACGCACGTCGCAGGCCCTGCCTGGCAACTACCTCCATACCCGCTTGCTGGAAGCCCCGACAGCTCTGGCGCATTCCTCTTTTGAGAGCATGTCAATGGGGGAAGGCCAACACAGAACACCCTGGGGAAATTGCCCTTTTCAACAATCTCTCCTTAGCGCGACGGCCCGTGCTGGTTGGGGCCTCGCACTGTGATTGCAGCTTCGCTGCCTTGGTGTTTCCCATGCCACCGCACCTCCCGCCAAAGGCGATCCCACGATACACATGCAGGTGGGGTATATGGGAGGGGTGGTAGCCCTGCGCATTATTAGGCGTGCGTGGCCGCTTCATCCAGGGGGACTGGACGTCAGAAGGCGGGTGCCGAAAACAAATCCGACACCGAAGCCCCTGGGTGATCGTTTCTAAAACGCGTTGCGCGCGACCCCTCCTAGGAGGTCGACGATGGGCCGCTTTCTTGGGGGGGGCTGCTCAAAACCCCTCAGAATTCTGACTGGATGGTGACTGAACGGGCAGAAATGCGTCTCATCTCCTCGTCCTCGGCATCAGTGCGTTCGAGGGCATGGTCGGGCAGCTGGCAGTTACTGGTAGCATCTTCGGCTACCCAGTCGGCGACTTGCTTGGCCAAGAAGACCCATGGCTGGATATTATAGTGTCCCAGTAGTCATACGACGGGTACGATTTTGCCTCGTGAAACTCAATGGGCCCGTCGTGGGCCGAAAAGGCGCTCCACAAATCAACCCCGATATCTAAATTCGACCAATGCCACCAGTCAGGCCTTCGCATCACTCCGCGATGTGCGCAGTCAGGGGTCGAGAACCAGGGCAATGTCGCCCTGGACGTGGGGGATGGCTTGGATGGCCCCGTACAGTTCCCCTCGATTGATGGTCTGTTTTCCTGGCAGGCTACCTTTAAGGGCACCACCACATTCATAGTCTGGCCCAACAGCTCCCCCTCCCCATCCAACACGTCGTTTCCTGGGGCCCTTGTTATGCGGACCCCCACTGGCGCCCGAGCCTCCCCAACACTTCCCTTTGACTTGCATGTTCTGGAGAAGGAAGGTACCCGAGGCGGATCGGGATGGGGGTCCAACACAGCAAGCTTCGGACAGGTCCGAAAACGATGAAGCTCATCCTCCGCAGCCGAGCCGCACCTCGGGTATACTTCGGGAGCGCGTGGTTTACATGCAGGGAGCCTAGTGCACGCCAAAAGTGAACCCCCGCTCATAATGCGCAATGCCTTGGGCAAGGGAACCCGGGCAGGTTCGTTATCGTCGGCCTCTTGGGCCCCTTGTTTACGAAGGTGCTGGCAGACGAGGCGATGATTGTATGCGTCAAGCCTGTAATCCTCTTCCGATTGTTTCTCCCCACCCCAGTTCACGCTGAGTTCTTTAGGTTACATGTCGATCGTATGGGCGAGGGCGACCCCACGCAATAAATTTGGCAACATTTTGATTCCATGTCAATGGCCAGAGAGAGTGGGCAGCACACCAACAGACAATTGAGGGAGGGGGAATTACTCATGAGGCACCCATCTGCCGCGAGGGGTGCCAGGCATCCCGGACGGCAGCGCCCCCGTAACTTGCTCAACAGACGAGGGGGGAGGAGGGCGACGACGAGCGAGGCTGTGCACAATGGCAGGTGAGCGGCCAGACCACGCCTCGGACAATACCTGGTGGCGCCGCGCGGTGACACGCCGTCGGGCCTCGAAGTGCTCGGCAGGGGAGCCAGCGCGGGAGAGGCGACGGGCATTGTGGGCGGCTAGGAAAGCATCACAACATGCAGCGCGCAAAAAGCAGACATGAGGAGGATCACGGAAGAGGAGGAGAAGGAGACAGAACCAGTACGGACGTTCGCCATTGGGCCCACGGATCGGCCCAGAGTAAGATTCAAGATCGGGGCCCAACCACAATTTCAGGAGGTCCTGAAGCCCAGGGCAGGCACAATAGTGGCCAATCGAGTCCAGGTCTTCCCCAGGGGATGGCGGAACGCAATCAAAGAGACAGCCAGCAGCCTGGCAGTGAAATCTAGCACTCGCGTTGAAAAAGGCAGTAAGTAACCTTAGTGGGGCAGCGCCAATATACATCGAGGCGTCTTCCACAACGCTCTTCACATTCAAGCGGAAGTCGGAGATAATAATTGAGGCTCCAGCTTCTGGAATAAAATACTGGGCGCGCCTGAGCAGGATAGATTTGGCCGTCTCCGTGGGGGCATACTTGCGGATCAGAGCGCACAGCTTGGATTGGAGGGGTTCACTCACGATCTCAAGATTAGGTCTCGGAGAGATTCTACGACATGAATGAGTCCTGATGCCAGCCTCGGAGCCAGCGGCATGGGATATGCTCAATATCGTCACGGGCAGACTTAGGATCAGCAATAACAGGGGGGAAGGTAAGCGAGCGGAGCAAATGCCGAATGCAGGCCGCCTTCGCCACTGCATGGATGTCCGTCAGGAGCAGCACGCCTTCTTTAAAGATCCTGGCAATGGCCTGGCTGGGAGGGTACATCTGGAACCTGAACGCGAGGAGCGAGACGCACATGACCCTGAAAGAGACGGCGGAGAGGGCGAGACCAAGGCCCAAACAACGGGCATGTCGAATCCGGTGGTGGAAACGAGGAGCAATATCATCCCAGACGCGAAGGTGACCCCCGGGACCGATGGGAATACCCAGGTACAGGGCCCAAGAACGAACCATAAGATCCTGGAACGGCAAGCCAAAAGATTCAAGAGTGGCCTTCAGGAAGTCTTTGTTCATGTCACTACATATGATAATCTGGCACTTCGCAAAGTTCAAACGAAGGTAGGCGATCTTCGCCAAGAGCATAAGTGCCGATAAGACAGGGCCGAGATCACGAAAGGTATTGACCAGGCCGAACAAAAATCGTCCGCGCAGGCAAGATAGATGCTGACGTTGAGTGCACAGCGGAAAGATAGCCAACGGAGCAGAAGGTCCACTGCAAGAACGAAGAGATGCATAGAGGTTGGGCATCCTCGTTTTACTCCTGAGTGGATATCATTCCAATCAAAACGACGAGAGGACATAGTAATCTGCGCGGTGTTATTCTCGTACATCATCTCAAAGATACGAAGGGTGCGTTCATGGATCTGCACGCGGCGGAGAACGTGGAAAAAAAGCCAGACGATGGCCAAAGAGGGGAAGGCCGCGGAGAAATCAGCAAGGAAAAGGGACGAGTACTTATCACCACGCATGTGCCGAGATAACCCCCTAGATTCAGCCTGCATCACATTCGCGAGCATGTCACGCCCGCGCGCGCACGCGTGTTCGCTGCTGACAAGCGGTGCCGTGTGCTCAACCAGCGAGACTGTGAAAGCATTGGCCAAGAGCTTAACGTCCGTGTTGCTCATACTCAAAGGTCTGGTAGCAGACGGATGGCGGACGAGGAATGGACAGCCAGGAGCATCGCGGGGGTCCGAGCCCTTTGGCACACATACAAGAAGGCTTCTCTGCATATCATCTGGGAGAGCATGCACCTGGCCATCAAAGAGCGAGGGGTAAACACTGTAGAGGATCCTGGAGGCATTGGCATTCTTCCAGACCGCGTGCGGAATGCCGTCAGGCCCTGGCATACGATGATGGCGTTCTGTGATAAGTCCAAACCGAACGGGGTAAGGGAGAAGCCACTCACGATCTAGAGGCCCCGAGAGAACCTGGATGAACGGGTTGATTTCGTTCCAGAGCGCGGTGTCAACAGAGGGGGCTTTAAAGACGTCGCGCCAATAATCACGCAGGGCAACTGCAGAGGCCTCAGTGGACGAGAAGGGGGACCCGCTGTCGTCATAGACCGCCGGGAGGTATGTGCGCTTGCGAAACTTGCCCCAGAGCTCCTTACGACGTTGGTTGCGGGCAGACAGATCGCACCTCCGGTTTGTGTCAAGCTCGGACTTGTTAATCTCAGACTCCTCATCCTTCAGTATTTTGTTATATAACGCTTGGACGTGTTGACACAGACCGTCAAGGTGTACACATTCAGACAGATCAGCATTAAAGTGAACGCGGAGTCTGGGGTAGCATTCAATAGCATGGCGAAGGCGCTGCTCATGCCCGAGGCGGGGGGCGCGCAGAGCAGCAAGAGACCAATGATGCTTGTCT